TCAGCCACAGGCTCTCTGATCACCTCTGTGTACCCTGATTTAAGGGTTCTTCCCTTCTTATCGTATGAATGTATTTTCCATTATTGCTTCTTTGTACACAGTATGATCACCTTTAGCCTTTTGACTGTTAAATCTATAGTTGAAGCATGATCTCTGGATACCCAGCTGATGGCAGGATACCCAGCTATACTGCTAGCATCTCAAACTCAAAACATCCCAAACCAAATTCAACAACCTGTTTTCTCCCAAAAAATGGTATCCTCTACCTGATTCCACTATTTCTTTTAGATAGACCTTGGTTTGGTTTGCCCAGTAATCCAGTCTAGAAATAAGAAAAAAATGATGAAAAATTCAAACATAGTCCAAATGCTAACACAATCAAATTAATGTTTTTTTTTTTTTCTCGTGGTTTGATCATTGATATTTGTTTCTTTACATAGTTCTTACTAAAATTAATTGTAATTTTGAGGTAAACTCTCCCTCTAAAGGAGAAGGATTTATGGAGATATTTTGAGCCAAGTTACAAAACCTTTCCCACAATGAGGACTGTGCAATTATAATCAAATTATTTGCTTCTAAATTTGATCCATATTCCATTGTGAATGGATGCCACAACTCCTTCATATTTCTGCAGATTTATTATTGTAGCCAGCTTGATAGTTGTTGCTAGTAAAATACAATTGTAAACCATAAACTGTAATTCTTCAATTGAATTTGAAGCATACTATATACTCGTGACATTCCTTTCAATAGAATACTCTCCTTACAACTCACTCACTATTTAAAAACATCTTACAAGGCTCAGTACAAGTACCAAGCCTTCTCGATAGCTTCCCTACCACCATATTTCCCTAAAACATTGTTTGTCACTTGACCCTTTGTGTTTCCTTCCCTGCTAGACTATAAGTTCCATAATAGAAAACGTTGTAGTTTCTCAATTAGCTGTAGCCAAATTGTGCCTCAGACAAGTATTTGTGCATAGAATTTGCTGAATAAATCTTGTTGAATTGCTTAATCTATATATTAAACACACGTTTGATGATTGACTTGCTTTTGTACCTAGCTGTGTGGTTGAGGGAGAGAAAAATTACATAGAGGGAGGAATATTTCACAAGCTACTCTCTCATCTGCAGAACAAACTGCTTAAAAGATTGAGAGTTGGGTCATGATCCATCTACACCTGGGAAGATTTATGATTACTTAGAAGCCCAAGAGGAAGAACCGTATGCTATGTATGGAATAATTTTTTAAGAACTATGGAGAATATTACTACTGTACTTGCATATAAGAAATCATCATAGTAGCAAAAGTTTAAATACATTTTCCTTTAAATACATTTTTTTCAATAACTTACGTAACAGAATAAAGTCTACATTAAAAAGTATCTTTCCCATCCTCAAAAAACATACTAAAAGCAAAAATAAGAAAGTCTATGCTACATTTTTTTTCTTAGAATTTGAAGTAAACCAAGAAAATATTTTGTTTCTGACGATCATAAAGTCTGAAATTCATATATTCAGTTTTGACCTAATATGACATAATTTATTCACATAGCATGTCTGTGTTGCTATTAAACTATAGAAATGAAAAGCAAAATTGCATATTCTGAAAATAATCATCTTAAATGAACTATTTCTGGCTGTTCCCCTTCTTTTGAAATTTGTTCTTCAAACTCTTTATCACTTGCCTACATTTCAGAGAAAGCTGAACATCAATGTTTTGTTTTTTATTTTATTAATACGAAAATTAAAACCTGAAGACCATAGAAGAATTTTTTCATAAAATAGCTATTTCTGAGCAAAGTGTGAAACTTTTAAAAAGTTTACTATTTGAGATTTTGGATTTCTTAGGTCTATTTCTGTAACTTTCTCACTTGTGTTCATTTAAAGAATGATCCTCTTTGAAAACACCTCTTTTAAAATTACATTTCTTACACCTGACACATTCTTGTAATTAATACTATTATAAAATGCATTATAATAGTAAATATTTTTGTTCTGCTTTTTTGCCTTAATAAAGTTCATTCATTAAAAAGTAGAAATTATGCCAGATAAAAGAAATAAAATATTATCTTACAGACTTGCGATGCTAGTCTAAAACCATGTTAGAAAATTTTATAATAATATTGCCCTGACCAAAGTTTGCACCAGTAAACACCAGGAATGCTTATACATTGTTGATGGGAGTGTAAATAGGTACAACTACTTTGGAAAATTTATAGTATCTACTAAAGCTAAACATACCCATATCCGTCTTATGATCCAGCAATTCCTCACCTAGAGAGTCTTAGACTCAACCTACACAGGTCCCAAAAATGTACGTATATATATATAAATTTCAAGGATGTTCATAGCATCACTAGCCACAACCTGAAAAATACCCAAATATCCATCCATATGAAAAATGGATCAATTGTGATGTATTTATATAATGGAATACTCCCATACATCAATGAGAACTAGTGAGCTACTGCTACATGTAACAATACAGATAAATGGCATAAACAAAATATTTATCAAAAGAAAGCAGACCCAAATGAATATTTATATAAAGTTTAAAAGCAGAAAAACATACTTATTGTTGTATAAGTCAGGATAGTGATTAACTTTGGGTGAGCTAGTGCCTGACAAAGGACTTGATGATTGGAGGGGGTGGAATGAGTGCTTCTGTGACACTGACAATTCTATTTCCTGATCTCTTTACTTGGGTATGCTCCTTTTATTAAAGTTTATCTATATGAAAACTTGTTTTGCATCTCTATGCACTTTATTGTGTGTATGTTATACTCCAATAAAATTTTTTTAAATATTTAAAACCTACAGGAAAAAAAAGTGTGTTCAAGAAAATTATTTTATTACCAATATCTATGTTTTCTATTTGTTGTTCTTGAAACTAACTTGCCCTAGAAAGGTGATATTTAAAACTAAAAAATATACTTCAATAGTAATACTGAATTTTGTCTGTATTTTTTTCCTTTACGTGTTTCCTTTTTTGCTCAATACGTCATGAATAGACTTAGTGGACAAATAAGAATGTCCTTAAAGTCATTAATTTTACAGAACATTTCCAGTAGAGGGAGCTTCCCTTTCTTTACTATAGGAAATTCTCTTTCAAGGGACATCACTGAAAGTATTTAATTTTTCACAAGTAAAGTTCTTCATAGAGTAGTGAACTCCTCTCATCTAACATTTATCCAAGATAAAGCAAAATTTGATTGTATTTATAAAAGAAGAAAAGAAAACCTGATGAAGAAATGTAATTATTGTGTTAACTTTTATTTCGGGTATGCCTTCTTCAAGAGATTGTATGTTTGTTTTATTCACAAAAGATATTTCCAATTAAAATGACTTAATGTTAATCAAGATAAATGTTTATAATCACAACTGTCAGTTTAAAATACAATGTTTGAGAGTTTCAATAAAATGTGACAAAAATCACAGGATCAATTGATGAAGATGTTATATTTAAAAATATATTATAACAAATGTTATGGTGAATTGCCATAATAAAAATTTGACTTCATTGACTAAACCATTTTTATTAGCTGAAGTTAAACTTCTCAAATCTAAGTATCTATCAACTAAACTATTCTGATTTCCTTAAAAGGCAAAATACTTGCTTATCTCCCCATTTATTTCATCTATGTATGTATATTAGTGTCTAAGACATTGAGAAATAAATTAAGGTAAAATGATCAATTTTTATTATATCATGTATTTTGTACTTCTTTCCATGACATTTTCAATATTGTAAAAAATCTATAAACTTTGTGTTGATCACATATGAAATTCATGAAAATTGTAAAGTTATGATAAATTTATTAAATCAAATTAAAATATATTTTCTATGAAAATATTCTTAGAAGAGTTTAACCCCTTGTTTCAGAAAATAACCAGTAATTCCAGAAATATAATAAACTTCACAACAAACTCTTGTTACATACAAGCATATCAAAAATACTATAACTTCCTGTAAAGTAGTTTTTTATAGGATACACTAGTCTTTTTAAGGTAGGCCAAAGATGAAAAATTGACACAGCAACAAGGAAAAGCAATTTACGTATTTCGTATGGAAATCAGTATCCACATAACTTAGTTAACTCTGATTATTTTACTTCAATATTATGGAAAAGCTTGAGTCATAAAAATGGAAATTCTATAATTATATGGTAATCATGAAGTTTTTATTAGTAGTTTTGAAAACCTAAATGAATAGTACCTTGCTTTTATACATTGTTTGATTAAAATCAAGGGTTAAATTATCTGATATTTTACCAAGTCTCTACTCCTCTTTTAACTAATTACAAAGAGAAAAAAAAAGCCTACCAAGTATGACTGAAATATTATAAAAAAATGACATATCGTAGAAGAATCTTATTGTTCAACAGGGTTATATTACTTTCTCCAAAAAAGATTATTCTTGAAACAGAACATACCTAATAATTTATGTATGCTTTTGGCTTCATGTATTACTTGAGTTAGGCTCATTAGAAAATATTACTTGCAAGATCTTTAATTTTTATTCATTTAGTTCAACCTCTGGACGTATTAACAGTGTTCAGAATTTTTCTGATCAGTAAATGCTTATGCCCTATATTTCTGCCTTTTAAAAAGTTAATAATGTCCCATTTCTAGTTACCAAATATTTCATAAGTTTTGCAAGACAGCAACACACAGAATTTATAATTCACTTAAAAAAAGCAAAACTCTCAAAACAATTCGGGAAGAAACATCTAGGCTTTGGAAAGATTTTACTTTTCTAGGGTAAGCTCAGCTCCAAAGAACATGAGATGACAGTTACTAAAATACATTAATCGGAGAAAATAGAGCAAAGTTGTCTGTTTTCAGAGATGTAAATAGATAGAAAATAATAGTATTTAAGGGATACTTTCAACAGTCTGAATTCAGAATCGCAAATCGCAGCTTCATCAATGACAAGTGGTTGTAACCTGGTGTATGGGATTAATGAGTTCTCCAACTGTTAAATACAAGAGGACTCACCTGAGTAACAGGGCTGCTTCCCAGAAGTAAAATCCCGAAACTAATGTCCGAAAGTGTCTCACGTGGGCCATGATACGGAGAGGTATTCACGATCCTGAAATTAGTCGTATCCAAGGCATGGGAAACCAGAAAGAAAGGAATGGAAATGAACAATATAACCCCGCGTTTTGTTAGTGGAGGCAAACGATTTTAAGATTCAGCACCTTAGACAGCTCCCCGCAGTCCGCGGAGACTCTCGCTCAAACATTTGAAATTCCTGTTAGAGCCCCTTCCTTGAGCATTGAGCAAAGGGGGATTCACAGGGTTACAAATGTGCAGGTGATTTATACAGTGACACCGGAATAGGAGTGAGATGAAGTGTCTGCAGTGTCTAGGTTCTGACAACAGTTCACTGAGCTCTAGCAGCGAAGAAGAATGTTCGTCCTTTCCTGATTGAGACCCACGACTGGAAGAACTGCAGCCAACAGCGGGAGCAAGGATGCTTCCCCACCTGCTCCCAGCGCCGCCGGCCGGAATCCCGTTCTCACCTTTGGCTAAAATCCGAGAGAGCTAGCGCGGCAAAGGGAAGCGGGGGCGGGACCAGACGACACTGTCTTGCTCGCCAATCATGATGGCACAGCGGGACAGAGTGACAGGCCCCTCGGGAAAGTAGGTGGTGCTTAGCTCTTCACCCTTAAAAAAAGCACTGAGGAATTCGTGTGGAGGCTAAGAGGCGACCAGAGGGAGTTGGGGGAAGGAAGCCTCAGAACTGAGAACTGGGAGAGTCAGCGGCTTTGTGGATTGGGTCACAGAACCGCAGGGGGGCCCTCCAGTGTTCTTTCCTGGGAAAATGGTACAATTTAGTAACGAAGAGCCTTTTGGGATGTGACTCTGTCTCTTTGACCCCCCACCAAATGACAAGAGTTAACAGTAAACCCAGACGCTTGGAATGGTCTAGGGAAGAGAAGAGGATGGGGTGCATGGGCACCAGCAGAACGGGAGAATCAGCTGCTTCTATAATCCTCACGTAAGCCTGGCGTGCTTCTGGCAAGGAAGAATTGTTGACTGGAGTAAGTTGAGTTACCCTGAGTAATAAAGGTTAAAAAAAAAAAAAAATCAAGGTGGGGAAAAATAAAGAGATGGCTACCAGAGTCACAGCACTGTTTACCATTTTTCCTACCAATGGTTTCCATATCTTAACATTAAGTGAGAAAAAGAACTATGTCAAGTGGCACATCTTCTCTCTTTCAATGATCATTTACAAGGGGACTTGAATTGGAAGACTCAGAAATGGTGTGTGTGTGTGTGTGTGTGTCTGTGTGTACGTGAGTGTGCGTGTGGGTAATGTGTATGCTTATTCACGTATCACAAAATTATGTTTTTTTCCTAACAAAAATTTTTTAGATTTTAAGAGTAGCTTTTATTTATTATCAGACAGGATCAATATGTTTACTTCTTCAATTTTAGCTTTTCTGCAAACTATTTATCCTGAAAACCTTGGCTTTCTCAGTGACTAAGCTTCATGCCTAAAATGTATTCTTACTCTTTATCAGAAAAGTTTTCTTCCTTATTAAATTCAAACAGCATTTGACAGATTAGTTAGTCCTAAATTCTCTATTTAACTGGAAAAGTATGAGTCATGGCCTTCCAATCCTCTCAAATCAGTACACAGTGAGAAAATCTCATCTCTCTCAACTCTTCAGTAGACAAGTTTATTTAAATTCAGTGAAAATAAAGTTTTTTAAATTTATTTCCATTTTTTATTATATCCGTTTCTTTTCATATCTTGGTTTCCTGATATAAATCACACAATTCTAGAAGTCTCATATGAAATGTCATTTATTATGCCCATGAATAATTACACCTTGAGAAGTTTAATATAGTCTTACTTAACTCCATTTTTTTAAATTAATCTTTTGAAATCTCACTAAGACAAACTCTATTTTTATTTATTTTTTATTGTTCTTTAGGTGCAATTTTACAGCTCAAATTAATTGCTCATAAAAAATTTATACCCATATTGTTTTGTGACATTGGCTGCAGTCCCCACAATGTGAAAGCACGCTCTCCCTTTCTACTCCAAGTTCCTCGCGTTCATTCATTCATCCAGTTTCTGTTCCTTCCTGCCTTCTTGTCTTGCTTTTGGACATGAGTTGTCCGTTTGGTCTCGTATATTTGATGGAACTAAAATGCATGTTCCTCACGTGTGTTATTTTTTTCATGTGCCTGTCTTACCTTTGTCTGAAAAGTGAGCTTTGGGAATGGTTTCAGTTCTGGGTTAGCAGAGTGTCCAGGGGCTATAGTCTCAGGGGCTCCTCCAGCCTCTGTCAGACCACTGAGTCTGGTGTTTTTTCATGAATTTGAATTCTGTTCTACATTTTTCTAGGGCTCTGTCCAGGACTCTCTGTTGTGATCCCTGTCAGAGTGTTCCGTGGTGGTAGTCAGGTACCATCTAGTTCTTCTGGTCTCAGGCTGGTGGAGTCTCTGGCTCATGTGGTTCTTTAGTCCTTTCTGCTATTATTTTCCTTGTGTCTTTGGTTTTCTTCACTCTCCTTTGCTCCAGACGGGATGGGACCAATAGACGTATCTTAGAAGTCCACTCACAAGCTTTTAAGACCCCAGAGGATACTCACCAAAGTGGGATGTAGAACTTTTTTTATGAACTGTGTTATGCCAGTTGACCTAGATGTCCACAGAGACAATGGTCCCCAAGCCCCAGCCCCAGCTACTCAGTCCCTCAAAGTGTTTGGATGTGTCTAGAAAAATTCTGTGCTTTTGCTTTGATCCAGTTGTGCTGACTTCCCTTGTGTTGTGTGTTATCTATAGATTTTTATGTTGTTTTGTTTTTAATTTCTATAAAATCAAAGATAATTTAATGCATCTGCGTATTTGTGGTAGCTGATCTTATAAATTTTGATCTTCTGAGACTAACAGTTCTGATGAGATGAGTACATGAATGAATGTGTTTCTGAAAATGACTATTCCATGCCTTTTTAGCCCATTGTTTTGAAACTAAGTTGGCTTCTGATGTAGCCACATTTCTAGTCTGCCCCTTACTGGTCTTTTTTTTTTTTTTAATTGTTGTGCTTTAAGTGAAAGTTTACAATTCAAGTTAGTCTTTCACACGAAAAAATATATATATATTTTTATGTGACCCTAGTTGCTTTCCCTATACTGTGACAGCACAGTCCTCTTTTCTACCCCAGATTTCCCATGTCCATTCAACCAGCTCCTGACTCTCTCTGCCTTCTCATTTTGCCTCTGGACAGGAGCTGCCCATCTGGTAACATGTATCTACTTGAGCTAAGAAGCACAGTCTTCATGAGTATCATTATATGCCCCATAGTCCAGTCTAATCTTTGTCAGAAGAGTTGGCCTGAAAAATAGTTTTAGTTTTGGGCTAGCAGACAGTCTGCGGGCCATGTCTTCCGGGGTCCCTCCAGTCTCAATAAAACCATTAAGTCTGGTCTTTTTACTAGAATTTGAGTTCTGCACCCCACTTTTCTCCTGCTCCATCAGGGACTCTCTGTTGTGTTCCCTGTCAGGGTGGTCATTGGTGGTAGCCAGGGACCGTCTAGTTCTTCTGGTCTCAGGCTGATGAAGTCTCTGGTTTATGTGGCCCTTTCTGTCTCTTGGCCTAATACCTTCCTGTGTCTTTGGTGTTCTTCATTCTCCTTTTCTCCAGGTAGGTTGGGACCAATTGATGTATCTTAGATGGTCGCTCACCAGCTTTTAATACCCCAGATGCCACTCACCAAAGTAGGGTGTGGAACATTTTCTTAGTAAGCTTTGTTATGCCAATTGACCTATATGTCCCCTGAAACTATAGTCCCCAGACTCTGTCACTCAAAGTGTTTGGTTGGATTCAGGAAACGTCTTAGCTTTGGTTTAGTCCAGTTGTGCTGATTTCCCCTGTAGTGTGTGTTGTCCTTCCCTTCACCTAAGATAATTCTCATCTACAATCTAGCTAGTGAATACTGCTCTCCCTCCCTCCTCACCCTCATAACCATCAAAGAATGTTGTCCTCTTTGTTTAAACCTTTTCTTGAGTTCTTATAATATTGGTCTTACACAATATTTGTCCTTTTGCGACTGACTAAATTCACACAGCATAATGCCCTCCAGATTCCTCCATGTTATAAGACCTTACAGGGATTATCATTGTTCTTTATAGTTTCATAGTATTCCATTGTATGAATAAACCATAATTTGTTTATCCACTCTTCTGCTGATGGGCACCTAGGTTATTTCCATCATTTTGCTATTGTGAACAGTGCTGCAATGAACATGGCTGTGTGTATTTCTATTCGTATGATGGCTCTTATTTCTCTAGGATATATTCCAAGGAGTGGGATTGCTGGATCATATACTACTTCTATTTCTAGCTTTTTAAGGAAGCACCAAATCAATTTCCAAAGAAGTTGTACCATTTTACATTCCCACCAAGAGTGTATAAGTGTTCTAGTCTCGCCACAATCTCTCCAACATTTATAATTTTGTGTGTTTTGGATTAATGCTAGCCTTGTTGGGGTGAGATGATATCTCATTGTATTTTGATCTGCATTTCTCTAATGGCTAATGATCGTGAGCATTTCTTCATGTGTCTCTTAGCCACCTGAATATCTTCTTTGGCAAAGTGCCAAAGTTCATATCCTTTACCCATTTTTCGATTGGATTATTTGTCTTTTTGTCATTGTGGTTTTGCAGTATCTTGTAGATTTTAGAGATTAGGCACTGATTGGACTTGAAATAGCCAAAACTTTTTCCCAGTCAGTAGGTAGTCTTTTTACTCTTTTGGTGAAGTCTTTTGATGATCATAAGTGTTTGATTTTAGGAGCTCCCAGTTATCTAGTTTCTTTTCTGGTGTTTGTGCATTGTTACTTATGGTTTGTACTCTGTTTATGCCATGTATTAGGGCTCCTAGCAATGTCCCTATTTTTTCTTCCATGATCTTTATCCTTTTAGATTTTATATGCAGATCTTTGATCCATTTTGAGTTATTTTTTGTGCATGGTGCTAGGTATGGGTCTTGTTTCAGTTTTTTGCAGATGGATATCCAGTTATGCCAGCACCATTTGTTAAAGAGACTGTCT